TATATAAAGTGTTCCGGAACAGATTTAAATACTTCAAATGGGTTTCGTTATATAAAGTGTTCCGGAACAGATTTTTTTTGTTAATCAATTTATATGCACAGTGTAAATATAAAATATGAAACAATATTGTTTAATTTGTTAACATTTAAAAAAAAAAATATTTTTTTTTAAATAATATTTGTAAATACATACCAATTATGCCATTATTTAAATAAAATAATAGTTGTTTACAAAACGCTTGGTATTTTCAGATTTTTTACATAAATAATTAAAAAAAATAACGAAGTTTTTCTCTGTTTTAACGAAAATTTTTAAATATAAAAATGTAAACAATAACAAACTCTGACATCAGTGCGTACCAGTCAAGTGAAGAAATAATAATCAGCTGATTGAATAACACCACCTTATGTGAATTCGCCTTGGTTCGTATATTTGGATGTAGCAAGGCGAATTCAGATAAGGTGGTGTTATTCAATCAGCTGATTATTATACCCTTCACCTTCGTGAGAAGGGTATATATAAGTTTGTCATTCCGTTTGTAATTTCTACAATATAATTTTCCGACCCTATAAAGTATATATATTTCGAGTCCTTATAGATAGCGGAGTCGATTAAGCTATGTCCGTCTGTCTGTCTGTCCGTGTGTTTGTTGAAATCAATTTTCTGAAGACCCCAGATATCTTCAGGATCCAAATCTTCAATAACTCTGTTGGACATACTTTCGAGAAGTTTCCTATTGAAAATCAGCAAAATCGGTCCATAAATACGGAGAAATGAGCAAAAATCCGAGACAACCTCTGAAAATTTCATCAAAAAAGCAACAACAACTCTGCTTATTGTATAAAGGTTGGTTTCATTGCGATGTGTATTCTGTTTTTGTTTTTTTGTGTATGTATTTCGTTTCATATGTTTGGATGGCTGTGGCTTCATCGCCTTGTGTATTTTGTTTTTGTTTTTTTATGTATATTGTTTCGAATGTTTCGATGGCTGTGGTTTCATTACGTTGTGTATTTCGTTTTTCCTGTTTTTTATTTCGTTTAGCATTGTTGTTGTTTCTCTTGTTTTGCTTAAGTTATGACAGGGTCGGGAATATGAAATAAATTGACATTTTATAAAATTAATATTTTTTAAACACATTATGGTGAAGGGTATATAAGATTCGGCAAAGGCGAATATAGACTTCTTACTTGTTTTTTTCTACACTTGGTACGCACTGATGTCAGAGTTTGTTATTGTTTACATTTTTATATTTAAAAATTTCCGTTAAAACAGAGAAAAACTTGGTTAGTATTTTGAATAATTTGTGTAAAAATCTGAAAATACCAAGCATTTTGTAAACAAATATTTTTCTTATATAATAATGAATAATTGGTACGCATGTTCCAACTTAATATAACAATAATATTTTTTCTATTAAATGTTAACAAATTAAACAATATTGTTTTATAAATTGTATTTACACTTTGTAGATAAAGCGATTAACTAAAAAAAATCTGTTCCGGAACACTTTATATAAAAAACCCACATGAAGTATTTACCCGACCGTCGGCAGCTGTCTTCTACGTTATGGTAAAATTTTGAGATCGAAAAAAATTTAACAAACTGTTTTATAATGTGAATAAAACAGTGAATAAATAAAAATGTGAATAACTAACAAAATTTCGTTCCGGAACGCTTTTTATAACAAAACCCATATGAGGTATTTACCCGTCCGGCGGCAGCTGACTACAACGTGTAAATCTTAAAAATTAGTCCGCCGGAGTAGAATTTTCCATTTACAACAAAAATTCTTTCATTCAGTATATAATTTATCCATAAATTTTTACATTTTTATGTTTATTTTTCACAAAAATATAAATTTTACATAATTTTAGGCACAAACTTGCGTTTTGCAAATTAATCTGCCGGAGAAGATTTTTTTCATTTGGAACAACATTATTCCATTCAGGGTATATTATTATTACAAATTTTTATATTTTTATGTGTATTTTTTATAAAATATAAAAATTCTACAAAATATTTTCATTAAATTCGCCGGAATTATTGTTTTTGACATCAGTGCGTACCAAATGCAAAAACAAATTACATGGAAAATTTTGTTGTTGCCGAACTGCCACCACCTTATCTGAATTCGCCTTGGGATGTAGGTTGGTTTCATTGCGTTATGTTCAAGGCGAATTCAGATAAGGTGGTGTTATTCAATCAGCTGATAATTTTTTTCTTAATTCGCCTGGTTTACGTAGCTGTCAAAGTTTGTTATTGTTTACATTTTTATATTTAAAAATTTCCGTTAAACGGAGAAAAACTTCGTTAATATTTGTTTTGGCCAAATAAAGTGGTCTCTTGAACCATAGTGCATTGTCAACTGGTATTTCTTCAATTTTAGAAAGATGAAATTAACCACACAGAGTCCTGAATAAATGAGAATCTATCAATGGGCACTTTTTCATTATTCAAACCTAGAAACCGAGTGAATGGAAATCTATAATATTGAATACTGAGAAAATGAAAATTAAAAAAAGCTAATTTTTTGTTTTCCAAGTGGTAATCTTTGAGTATTCTATCCCTGCAAAAAAGAGGTGCAAAAAAAGTAGTAAATGCATCGGTTCAACTGATAATGAACTGGTTAATTTTTAGGTGAAACATGCATGATTATAACATTAGCGTGTCATTGACGAGCATGAGTTCGCATTTGGACAACCAATAAACATTCGGTGATTCTGATTTTCATTGGTGCACTATATTTATTTTAAAATGCATTATTAAAGGTATTATGGTGAATTTATTATTAATATTTATTAATTTTTAGCGTGATATTGATAAAAATTATATATGATCCCAAAATAAAACATTAATAACTGATTTTGAATGGTATTAAAATTCATTCAGAGTAAAAATACCATTATATTTTTCTGGAATATTGAACCTAAAAAGAACATATACAAAAATTAATGTGTGTTTGTTTAGTCTTTATAGAAACGGCTGGACCGATCTTCATGAAAATGGCCGAGGTGCCTCGACCACATACAATATAAGTATGCGTATCTTAGAAAGTACAACAGTTAGAGTCCTCAAATTTTGTATAGACAACTTTGACGTCCACATAAACATTTGGGCACAAAATGGGTGGCACCTCCCAACATTTTTAAAAATATACATATTAAGATATTTCTTAATACACATGTATTTAAACTAGAACTGAACTAAAAACTGAACTGAAACTGAAATAGAACTGAACTAAAACTGAACTAGAACTGAACTAGAACTGAAATAGAACTGAACTAGAACTGAACTAGAATTAAACTAGCACTGAACTAGAACTAAATTAAACTGAATATGAACTGAACTAAATCTGAATTGTAACTGAACTATAATTGAACTAAAACTGAACTAGAACTGAACTAGAGCACAGCTAGAACTCAACTAGAGCACAGCTAGAACTCAACTAGAACTGAACTAAGATTGAACTAGAGCTGAACTATCTATCTATCTATCTATCTATCTATCTATCTATCTATCTATCTATCTATCTATCTATCTATCTATCTATCTATCTATCTATCTATCTATCTATCTATCTATCTATCTATCTATCTATCTATCTATCTATCTATCTATCTATCTATCTATCTATCTATCTATCTATCTATCTATCTATCTATCTATCTATCTATCTTCACAGTGTCTTTCTGTATATCTGGAAGGAACTATAGGCATTATTTATTTTTAGCATGGAACCGGCAGGAAAAGAAAAAGAAATACAAACCGAACATTTTCAGGGTCGATTCAGAAACTCAAACCGAGTAAGAAAATTTATTTTTAATCAGTGCCAGTCTGTTATATAAATCCCTTATTCATCTTTCAATAGAATAGACTACTTCCAAAGAATACGGGTATTAGAAACGGAGAATAAAGAATTAAAATTTAAACTTTCTCAAGCAATCACTTCTATTGAAGAGATGAGAAAGATTTTCAAAGATGGACAAGTAAGGAAAATGATGGCTCCAGGAAGAATCCAATGGAAATGGGCAGACATATCTAACGCGATATGCCTGCATGCTGTAGGACCCAGGGCATACAACCACTTATATAAACAAGGTTTTCCGTTACCTCATAGATCGACCCTACAACGCTGGTGCGGAAAAATTAACGTTAGTGAGGGGATCCTTTCAGCTTCCATCGATTTTATGCGACACACGAACAATTTGGAAACAAATGATAGAATCTGTGTGCTCGCATTTGATCAGATGAAGGTAACGGAAACCTTCGAGTATGACCCTGTTGATGATATTGTACGAAAGCCTGCTAATTATGTACAGGTCATAATGGCACGAGGTTTGCGGAAGTCATGGAAACAACCAGTCTTCTATGACTTTGACAGTAAATTGTCCCAAGACCTGATAAATAAGTTAATCCAACAACTGTACAATATTGGATTTACTATAGTGGGTATTGTCTGTGACTTGGGACCCAGCAACCGTAAGTTGTTAAAGGATTTGGGTGTTACCGAAGGTAAGTATTGTTAAAACAATAACAATGTTCTCACACAATTTAACACCAATTTAACCTTACACAACTTCACACACCACACAATCTTGAGGTCGAATTCTATTGAAAAACATTACTCTTCGTTATTTGCATAGCGTTTCTACAAAGGAAGGATAAATAAAAAGGGTAATTAAAATAGTAATTATTTTTTGATTTAAGATTTAAAGATATGATTCTTAAAGTTAAGATAAGTTTGAATATTAAGATCGGTTTGGGATTAACAAAAAAGGTATAGTAATTATTTATAGATTTAAGATTTAATGCTAAGTGTTTTAATATTAAGCCTCAAATAGGACTTAATAACATTAAAATTAGTAATAATTAGTTTTTTATGTTAGTTAATAACTTTATTTTAAGTTTTTCGATAAGTTAGAAAGATTCGTCAACAACAAAACAAATATATTAAATCTTTGCTTAAATTTTAATAAATTATTTCTTAAACATTTTAGAAAAACCTTGGTTTCCCAGTCCCAACTGTGCAGACGAAAAAGTGTTCGCTCTGGCTGATGCTCCGCACCTCTTAAAATTAATCCGGAACCATTACCTGGACAGTGGCTTAGTTGTGGGAGACGAACATTTAACCTCCCGAACTTTTACAGATTTACTTAGCCTGACATCAACATCTGATATGTCAATAACTTATAGAATTAGCCATGAACATCTGGCAGTGAAAGGTGCAGATAAGTGTATAACAAAAAAGATTCATACTGAATAATGCTATTTTAACAAATTTTCAGGTAGACAAAAGGTGAAATTAGCAACACAGCTTTTTTCGCACACAACAGCGAATGCTATTAGAAGATGCTACGCCCCTTGGACCCAGACGGCTGATTTCATCCAAGAGGTGAACGATTGGTTTGACGTACTAAACTCTAGAATAAGTACATTTAAATACCCTGGCAAGGTAAGTTAAAATACACCTAATAATATTGTTATCAGAATATAAATGTGATATTTTTATTTGTAATCATTTAAGGAACCATATGGACTTGACTTATAACGTCAAAGAGAAAAACTGACAAAAATGAACGAGCTGATGTCGTCACCAATCATTCCGGGTCGGAAAACTCTGGAGCCCTTCCAAAAAGGCATTATAATGACGAATAATGCCGTGATGATGCTCCAAGATTATGTCAAAATGTATGACATGGAGTACATCGTCACAAATCGGCTAAATCAAGACGTTCTCGAGCATTTCTTTGTCGCCATTAGAAGTAAAGGGGGTTTAAATGACCACCCTTCGCCAATGGATTTCAAATATAGAATGCGAAAGTATATCCTGGGTAAGTTTATGCAAATACTTTTCTTTTTTGTTACCAATTATTTTATTTATTTTAAGCAAGAAACACCGAACACCTAAATGGGACAGGTAATGTTGAAGCTGATGATACCAATTGGCTGGATTCTTCCATGGAGTTAAAAGCTTCAAAAGTGGTTGAAGAGATTCCTGCAGCCCCGGAAGATATTTTTGAAGAGCTACCTGTAGACCCGGAAGAAGAAGTAGACCTCGACGATTTCGATGAATCGATTCTTAATGACATTGGTATTCTTCAAGAAAACGCATTAGAATACGTAAGTGGCTACCTTATAAGAAAATTAAATCTTGTAGGATACCAGAGTCATCTAGAATCGTTAACTTGATCAACCAAGTGTCGAAGGGCTCCTTGAAAAAGCCAAATAAAAAAACTAGAAATTGTGTTCGAAAAAGTCAACGGAAATGAAATCTCCCACCAACCAAGGCTAAATCAGCATCTTCTTGAACAAAGCGTTCTTGTTAATCTTCCAGACAATGTAAAAAGATTATTCTTCAAATGCCGAATACATTTTCGCGTGAGAAATCTGAAAAAAAGATTAAATATTCAAAAAGAAAAGCAGCGCACAGTGGGGTCCAAAAATTTCTTAAAATTAAATTATAAGAATTTATCTTTTTGAATATGTAAGTATAGATTTATTAAAGCAATTTTAATTCAAATTATTATTTTTTTATTTTTCTACAGATTTCGAACTATCATATTGCAGCACATTTTAACACGACACTGCAGTTAACGCATATTTTAAAAGGTAAAAAAAGAGTTATTTAAACCCAATTGTATACTAAGTTCTGTTTCAGCTTTGTTTTAAACTTTTGGAGTTTTGCTAGAACACTCCCGGAAACCTGAGGACGATCACTCAGATTGACACTACACCAAACTAGAGGCAAATAAATGAAAAAGGAGAGTATTTTCAATATATATATATTAGGCTTCACGCGATATTTTTGAAATTGTGATATCATACCTTCTATGAAAGTTTTTGGATCAGTGACAATATTGGCGTAATTATTATGTTAAAATTCCAACTCCTTCATTTGCATATCTGCGGCCAAAACACCGATTTTGGGCGACGTTTTTTGATAGAGCAAAAACTGCTGAATATATTTCAAATCTAACTTTAGTATACAATCTACAGGAAAATTTAAGATGTATGAACTAAATTTGACAGAATTTGGATGCACTAAAAATGCATAAGAGCAATAGAAAAAAATGCAATTTTTTCAAAAAGAAATTTCAAAACTTGATTTTATCAATCGTAAATATAATATTCAATGCCCTTAAAAAATAGTGTTAAAAAATTATATTCATTGAATCGGTTTAGAAGTTATGATGTTAATAATGTTAATTTGTGGGTTAATAATTTCCCATCTAACAATGGTTTCTTCATCATCACCTCCAAATTTAATATAATTCCACCAAATTAATGTTCCATATATAACTTGTACAATGACAAATTTTGGGACTTATAACTTTCGTAGTATCATCACATCTAAAGGGTTAGTGATAGAATTTTTGTTTTTGCACCATTTTTCTAAGCAAAAAGCATACTTAAATTATGCGCAAAGAAAAAAATATTTTTAATTTTTTTTGAAAAAAGTGCATCTTTGGATGATCCTATATGCACTTTTGGAGCGTTATTAAAGTGTGAAATTAAGCTCATTCTTCTTCATTTTTCCTATAAAATCAATGATTAAAGCATGATTTCCAATCTATTCTGCAGTTTCTGCTCTGGAAAAAATGTCGCTCAAAATCAATGGTTTCAGCCACAGATATGCAGATGAAGGAGTTGGAAAATTATTACAGCATTGTGATCACTGATACAAAAACCTTCTAAAAAGGTATGATATCACAAAATCGAGAAACATTTTGTTTTTTGAAACAAAGCCTAATATATATATATATATATATATATATATAAAATCAATGATTAAAGCATGATTTCCAATCTATTCTGCAGTTTCTGCTCTGGAAAAATGTCGCTCAAAATCAATGGTTTCAGCCACAGATATGCAGATGAAGGAGTTGGAAAATTATTACAGCATTGTGATCACTGATACAAAAACCTTCTAAAAAGGTGTGATATCACAAAATCGAGAAACATTTTGTTTTTTGAAACAAAGCCTAATATATATATATATATATATATATATATATATATATATATATATATATGTGTAACTTTTAAATTAAACCATATATTTTGTTTTCTGTATTTATGCTAATTACAGTACACAATTGGAGTTGACTTGTCCTTGACATCCTAAAACAAAAAAGTAGGTTTCTAAACCTAGTTTGTATTTGTTTTTATTTCATTTCAGATTTTCTAACTTGTCGACCTACATACATACATATGGGAATGGCGAATGTATTTACATCAATCAACAAACGAGAGACAAAAGCAAATTGCTGTTAAGTATTTAAAATATTTTATAAATTCATTACATATTTTTAGTTTTAATTACAAAATTTTTTGAATGAATTGAATGAATTTTAATGTATAGCTATTTTTTTAATTTTTTTTAAATATGTATATGTTTAAATTAAACAAAACTTTTAGTAAAATTAAAATAGAATGTAAATTTTTTAGTTTTTAATTAGTTAACACTAAAGAATTATTAAATTAATCATAAATTTTTATTCTATTTAAATCAAATGTATATTTTAAAAATATTATTTTTTAATTATATTACAATTTAAAATGTTTAAATTAAAAATTATAAAAAATTTTAAATAAGTGCTTATTAATTGATACGTTCATAAAACAACAAAATGTATAGATCAATTTAATCAAAACTTTTTATAAAACTAAAATCAAATGTATATTATAAAAATTTTATTTTTTAATTATATTACAATTTAAAATGTTTAAATTAAAAATTATATAAAATTTTAAATAAGAGCTTATTAATTGATACGTTTATAAAATAACAAAATGTATAGATCAAATTAATCAAAACTTTTTATAAAATTAAAAAAATATTTATATATATTTATTTTTCAATAATATAACAATTTACAAAGTTTAAATAAAATTGTCTATTAAATTTAAATCAAATGTATAATTTCTAATTTTGAAATAATATAACAATTTAATTTAAAATAAAATCAAACTTTGTATCAAATTATAATCCAATGCATATTTTTTTGTAATTTTAAATGTTTAAATTTTTCTGTTCTAAAATACAAATTTTGAATAAAAAAAAACAATTGATAAAACACATGAAATCATTTACTGCAAGACTGCGATAAAAATGGCTTTGAATGTTTAATGGCAATTTACTATTTTTTTAAATAACTTTAAAATTCAAGGGATTTGAAAAATTAAACCAGATACAGATAGTAGAGGTTAATATCTTTCTCATCTAAATTGATTTTTAGTTTTTACATTTACAATAAAAAATCTATGCCAGTCTTGTAGTAAATGATCGATATGATAGACAAATTTAAACAGAATTATTAGGAAGAAAACAATTGATTAGTCCATTAAACAGTCTTGACAATTGTTTATGGACCTAACTCATCAAAATTCGAAAGTTTAACTTTCTAATTACAAATAATTTTTTGTATATTTTTTCATAATACCATGATTTTTAAACAATTTATTAAAGATAAAATTATATTGTGTATCAATAGAGAATATTTGTGAAATTTAGTCCTCTAGCGTTAACGTTTGGCGCCACCATTGGTTTTTTCAACAGACAGTAGACATCATGTTAAGGAAATACTTTATTTGTACATTTTGTTGGGATTTTAATAGAAACGTTTTGCGCCACCATTGGTATTTTCAACAGACAGTATGTTAAGGAAATACTTTATACTTTTTGTTAGGATTTTAACAGAAATTTTATTTGTTAATATGCAACATGCTTTAAATTGATTGGAATTCAAGATGAAATTACCTTGTGGTGTACAATCCTCTTACCATTGGAGCATCTACCCAAATATCTCAGGAACAAGATGAGTTAACCCAACGTTTATTGTTATTTAGTATTCTATGATATGCTTGGTCTTTAGTGTCTTTAGTAATTTGTATTATTTTCAAAAAACTGTTTTGTATTTGTTTCAATTTCACAATACGTACAAGACTCATCCAATATACAAACTTATTGCTGCCTATAGGATTGGTGGTCACTTGTATGGGGTCTAGATACAATCGTGAACCGATATTGGTCATTTAAAAACCAAACAAACTGCATCAATAATGAATATTTTTGGAATTTAACCCTCCGGTTTATGCCCTATCATGTTTTCATCAGATAGATTTGGGGACGCACATGGCTAGATTGCCTTAAAATCTAATAAGGAATATAAATACTTTTGTTTGACCACGATCAATATTTCGATGAGTTACAAAAGAAAATACGAAATCAATATCGCTTTATCTCTCTTGATTGCATTTATTACCACCAATTTAAAACAAAAACAAGTAAGAAAGTATAGTCGGGCGTGGCCGACCATATGATACCCTACACCAGTTATGAATATTAAATGTGATTTATATTTCATAATATCGCATTTATCTTCAATATTCCCTTGTTCCGATACATTTAAGCAATTTATGGATGAAAAACTAATTTTCTGAAAGAGGCTTTATATGGGGGCTAGGGGAAAATATGGACCAAGCCCGATAAAATTTTGTAAATATATTTATATTTACATAATATTTTATTGTGCTGAATTTCATCGCGATATTTGTGTTTATAAGTTAATTTGGGACATTCAAGTAATTTTCTGAAGGGGACTTTGTATGGGAGCTAGGGTCAAATGGGGCCCGATCTTTATGAAATTTGGCAGGGTTATCAAGACTTTTATAAAACTTAGTTGTGCCATATTTTATCGATATATCTGTATATTTAACATAATTATGAGCTCAGAAGCCCTTTTCGGGGGGTTCTGTTCTATGGGGGCTAGGTGAAATAATGGACCGATTTTAACCATTTTCAATAGGCTTCGTCATTGGGTCAAATAAAACGTGCGTGCCAAATTTCATCCAATTATCTTGAAAATTGCGACCTGTAGCTTGCGCACAAGGTTTACATGGACAGCCAGACGGACGGACGGACATAGCTTAATCGACTCAGAAAACGATTCTAAGCCGATTGGTATACTTTAAGGATGGTCTAGGACGAATATTTTTATATGTTACAAACATCAGCACAAATCCAATATACCCTCCCCACTAAAGTGGTGTAGGGTATAATTATATATTATAAACACACACTTTTTATTTAATTCTTCTGTTTGTTTTGTTATACCCTACACCACTTTAGTGGGGAGGGTGTATTGGATTTGTGCTGATGTTTGTAACATACAAAAATATTCGTCCTAGACCCACCTTAAAGTATACCAATCGGCTTAGAATCGTTTTCTGAGTCGATTAAGCTATGTCCGTCCGTCCGTCCGTCTGGCTGGCTGGCTGTCCATGTAAACCTTGTGCGCAAGGTACAGGTCGAAATTTTCAAGATAATTGGATGAAATTTGGCACGCACGTTTTATTTGACCCAAGGACGAAGCCTATTGAAAATGGCTAAAATCGGTCCATTATTTCACCTAGCCCCCATAGAACAGAACCCCCCGAAAAGGGCTTCTGAGCTCATAATTATGTTAAATATATAGATATATCGATAAAATACGGCACAACTAAGTTTTATAGAAGTCTTGATGACCCTGCCAAATTTCATAAAGATCGGGCCCCATTTGACCCTAGCTCCCATACAAAGTCCTCTTCAGAAAATTACTTGAATGTCCCAAACTAACTTATAAACACAAATATCGTGATGAAATTCAGCACAATAAAATATTATGTAAATATAAATATATTCACAAAATTTTATCGGGCTTGGTCCATATTTGCCCCTAGCCCCCATATAAAGCATCTTTCAGAAAATTAGTTTTTCATCCATAAATTGCTTAAATGTATCGGAACAAGGGAATATTGAAGATAAATGCTTTATTATGATAAATAAATCACATTTAATATTCATAACTGGTGTAGGGTATCATATGGTCGGCCACGCCCGACTATACTTTCTTACTTGTTTATTTGTTGTTTTTGAATTTGTAGCAAACAGTTGTTTTGACAATTAAGATTATTTCACAATAACAAAACGCCTGTTGTTTCTATAATGTTGTATTTGTTGTAGGCTACCTTATTAAGTGTACACTGCAGTGCAGAGATACAAGCCGAGACGGCTCAAATCGGCGGCGGCTGGCCGCCGGTAATATTTTGCAAGCCGCGCCGCCGCCGACTTATTTCGGCTCAAAAGCTAAGCCGGCTTAAACGTAGCCGCTGAAAAAGATTAGAATCACACATGTATTTCAGAACATAATTTCACCAAATTGAACGGAGTTGCCACTATTTTAAATTCTTATGGCAAATTGAAAAGAGTTGCCACACAATATTGTGCTAATATTAAAATAGTGAAAACTACTATAAATGTCCATTTTCTGCAGAAAAAAAAACTTATATAGAGACAGGTTTCTATGTAACAGACTACTATACAAAGATTTTTCAATATAATAAACCTTATAAGGTCAATTTCTAAAGAAAAAGTTAAATTGAGCCGACAATTTAGCCGCCGCCGATATTTTCTGTAATAAGCCGCCGCCGCCGACCCAAAATGGTTGCGCCGCCGCCGCCGATCATTTCCCATCGGCTTGCATCTCTGCACTGCACTCACTGGTTTGATATTCAACAGAAATTGAAACAGAAGAAGCATAAATTCATTTTTATTTAGCTTTGGTGAGACAACATCACATTTTTTGCCGCAAGGTAAATGAAACATGGATGAAAAACAACCATATTCGAATTTATTTAAAGGCACAGTACCAAAGTTTACTTGAAATATACATAGAAAAATATCCAGTTTTTTAATAAAACTATTTTTCATTAATAAAAAAATAATTTCAAAAATTAGATAATTGTTTTTTATAACAAAAGTACATTTATAATAATGGTAAAATTGTATGTGTAACAGTGTTGACACATAACGCATTTCCCTACAAGAACAGTGACAGTCATTTGATAGGTCATTTGACTGGCACTACTGATGTATTATTTCTATCACAGCGTAAAGCAAAGTTTCTATCAGTTTCTTAAGGCAAATGGACAAAAGTGATGGAAACATTTGTGTACATGTGATTTTCTTCTTCCTTGCACTTATGAATTCTATCGACTTTAAGACATATATTTGAGCTCCTCACTCTTTTGTTGTTTACTAACCAAGGATGACATAAATATTAGTCAGGATTGACTGATCATGCTTGATGGATATATCTATCACAGTTAACAAATTAAAAATGATGTATTTATCGGTCATTGTTGACTAATCATATGTGATATATCCGTCAAATGTGACGGCTATACCAATTTATAATAAAACACAATTTATTAATATTTTAAGATATATATTTGTTAATT